TTTCAACAGCTAAGACTAGAGGCTTGCTTGTATTAAGATTTCAGATATGCAAAAGAATTTTAAAAACTGGCTTACATGTTGCTTAAATGTATTCCTTTCTCTGGTTCATTTACAAAATTTGCAGCAGTCTCATTAAAACTGACTTGTGCTATGTGTGTTCTTAACTACTGAAGTTAAACAAATGAAAACAATTTACATCAGGCTGTCACTTTTAGAGGTCAGCACAAATACAATTAACACCGATTTAAATCCAATATAAGAGATGTGTGGAAGTGTTTGCTCTATATAATTTTTTGATTCAGGATCTGTACCATTGCCAATATATATATATATTTCTGTGCTTTCTACAGACTCGGAGAACAAAATAGTCTGTTTCTGTAGGGCCTGACCTAGTGCTAGAACGTTAAGAGCAAATCATTCATGTAGGAAGTGTTCTTCCTTTTATTTTATTGCTGCAGTCACTGTCTGTTATTACCCAGTAGTAAGATTGTGTCTACTTTTTTTTTTTTTTTTTTTTTTAAACCAGAAGTTACTTTAGGGCTGTTTAGGCATTTGTCTCCGCTCCACCAAATCCTCCATACACTGAAATCACTCCCCAGGAAAGTGACCTTCTCAGTAAGAAACCTGATCTTACAGATATCAAATGACCTGAAAAGATCTTTCAGCAGTTTGGTCAGCATAACATTAATAACCCAGCCCACAGGAGAATACTGTGTACCAAAGCTGATGTGAATTTGATGACTGTGGACTGCAGAGAAACTGACAAACTCTCAACATTGTTCACAAAACAGTAAATGAATGAATTCCAACTAATTATGTCTGCAGAACCATGAGCTGTCAGGTGGAAAGACTCTTCAACTTCTTGCAATTCAGTATTTAGCACAACAAAAATACTGTCAGCATCTTCTCACCCTAGAACTGAAACTACTGAAACATGTAAGAGATTTGTTATACTATGTTCTTTTATCATATCCGAGTAAGCTACCACAGCAGCTAAAAGTACAGTTCCTTTAAAACATATCAAGGAATCTATATGCCATATAGGGTATTGAACTGAAAACCAACTACACACAGCACTCTGAACATTCTAAAGAACTTGAATGTGACACATATTTCACAGATCTGGAAAAAGGAATTTTGATTTACTGTAATCAGCACTTCTATTTGAAATATATGTCACACTTTCTAAATATATACTTATAAATCACCTCAAAGCCCTATGCATTTAGGAATTACAATGCCCTATCATTAGTTGTTCTAAGCTGATAAATGACTAATGGAATGCCAACTCAGCAAGTCAGTCAATATGAGAGATATGTTTCATAGTTAAGGCTGCCATATAAGCAACGTCTTGTAAAAACATTCCCTTCATAAAACTGCACACAGAACATACTAGTTTCTAAAATTAAGGCTATGTTGTATAAATAGCCATTTATAATTAAGAAAACTATATGATACTGAAACATTGAGCTTTGAATAAAGAAAAATCTTCAAGATCCTTCAAAGTCTCACATATCTTTTACCATCTCAGCATGGATCAAAACATCCTTGTTTGATGTGTATGGGATTTTTTTTTTTTTTAATATTAATTGCCCTACATATGTCAGCAGTGTAGGGTTGGTAGTCTTCAAAAAAAGTCTGAAAGCGTCACAATCTATAACATACTTTTTAGTAGGAATAAACCAAATATTTTCTCTAACGGGAAGTTACCATAGGGGAAAAAAAGAGAGTTTTTGCTCTATCTCCACCTTATGGCTAGAAAAAGAATTTTTCTATTACAGCATACATATTTTTGAATTTATTTTTCCTTTATTGTATGACTATAACCAGAAAACATTGACTATTTGTATTAAAAAACCTGAGATTCTTTTTTTAGCAGTCCCTCACTTCTCCACATAAAAGTACAATGAAATTCCACACCATGAATGTCCTCTCTAGCATCTGTGTTGATGTTCTGACTCAAAACAGCAGACGTATTTACATTCAAATAGAACAGTGATTATTTGGGTTCTTAACCCACTAAAGTATACAAGTTCATTTATTCCTGTTGTCACCATTAGGAGTTAAAATGGCTAAATCTCTCCACAGATCTAAACTTCACTGACATACCATTCCTGATGCTCACTTTTTAAAACAGCTTTAAACCTAATAATCACATGATTTATACCACTCATAAAATATTAAATTTACATGCTCTACAAATTAAAACAACAGTATGCATGAATGTAGTTTTAAAGCTTTCACAACTATCTTCTCTGCTTGCTTATCTTGCAAGCAAAATGATGCAAGCACAATAGCTGGAACAGTGCATACTCCTCACCAGAAGACTTACTCAAGTTGGCAAACAGCAGATCTCCTGTTAGCAGTCACTCCCAAGTGAAGCAAGATGAAACAAATATAGCAGCACCACCATTCTCTTTCCTCATAGTCACCTGTTGATCAATAAACATTTTTCCTTCTTTTGTGCATTAATCAGTTACGATACCACCCTGGCCCAAGGACTAACATGAGCTACATGGAAAGCTGAAAACCAAGACACCGTCTTGGTCGTCAGAAGTACTTTGGCCAAATTCTTCTATTTTTTCGTTTTTACTTTTCTCCCTTTCATTGATGGTCATAGTGAAAGGGTGGAGTAGGATGAAAAACAGAACATTGGGAAAGATGCAAAGAGAAGAAAATGGAAAAACTGGATGTCTTAAAGCAACTTTTAAGTTTTTAGGTCCTGCTTTCTAAGGAAATAAGGAGTCATAACCATATTGTTAGAGAGCATCTCTCTTTCCCAAAATCTCTTGAATCTTATGTTTAAAACTCCAGGAAATTCAATAGTGAATTGTCTCAATGGTTTCAGAACTCCAAATTTCTCAAGGTTTCATGAATAGAGCTGAAAAGGATAGACACCTTATAAATGCATCAGCATGACTCTTCCCTCAATAATCCTTGCTTTTTTCCTCCTAAGGGCAGAGAATCAACACAAGAATTCAAACAAAAGAATATAACTTCATTAAGCTTTCTAGTACAGACCTAGTTTAAAAGAGTATTTTATAGTACTATGTGCTTTGATGCTCTGTCATTACATAGAGATTTGATAACAGAAATAGATTACTACTATAACCTCCAAGTTTATATTAATTGAAGTGTTCATGGGTATTTAGACAATACTGCTGTAAGGAGTTTTGATTTTAAAAATACAGTAAGGAGTACTGTATCGAGGAGACTCTACATATATACATGAAACACAGAAGAGCTGCCAAATACTAATATAATTAACCTTATGGGGAACATTCAAGAAGATACTAGAAAAACGTAATAGCATTTTATATTTCTGAATGCTAAAGCACACTACATCAACCACATTAATTTCCAGTTAGCATTTATTTAAAGTTTAAGCGAGAAACCTGAATACCTGCCAAGCTATGCAGGTCTTCTTAATGCCTGCCTTCTTCAGCTATAACAAAACACCAACGATGGGCTGTCAAAAGTCTCTCTCATATTACAAAAGGGCATCCCTTCTTAACCATGAATGCAGACCAAAAACACTGTATAAAATATTTTAGAAGTACACTGGTTGGTTTTAACCCTTCACTGCCTCCCTTCCCCAACGGCAGCTGATCACCAATCTACTACATGGGAATAATACTCCACTAAGCTCAGAGTGGATTTTGCTCCCAGGAAAATCAAGACTATAAAAAAATATTTCAGGAAAAATTAGGAAAAAACATTTCTAACAAAGGAAAATCTAGTGTTGCAATAAAATTGTTAAATCACGGACAGTAATTACAAAGAAAAATATAGATACTTAGTCTGGTCTTCCTTATTCCTGAGAATGTACTTGAGATTATTAAATCCTCTACATGTGTAGGTTCTCAGCCTTCTTTGTGGATTCCAAGGGAGTAAGAGAAGAAAAGGCAGAATAATCTCGTCAACCCTTAAAAGAAGCTGACTGAACTAAGCTCTGTGAGTTAAGTGGAAGAGTAATCCTTCATTTCTGCATACTGGAAAAGAATGACTTTTCAAAGGCTGCACGGGATTTTAAAAAGCACGTGGACGTGATACGACATTAAAAGTACTGGTATTGCTACAGTTTTCTTAGATTACTAAAATATTTCTAAAATGCAATTCTTTTTTGCTGAGTTTCTAGAATATATTCAGTAAAGTATCAAACAAAATTAGACTACTACATAACACTTTTAAAGATCCTTTATTTTAAGAATAGTTCATTGTGCATATGAAGGATCAGCTACCACATATTCCACAAAACTGTATTATCAGCTCAAACTGTGAGATTCAACTATAACTTTATTAAAACATCCCTTAAGCAAAGTGTTCAGTAAATGGTTACAAGTATCAGATTAGGAATAGAATATGATCTTAATTTAAGAAGACATACTTATATAATGTTCATTTCCAGACCTCTGACAAGTTAGGATGACACTCAAAAGGGGGGAGGAAATAGCTGGGCATTCATGACAATTTATCTTTGTTATTTTTACAAGATCTAACTTCAAAAACAACAGCTGTGCCAGATCTTTTCTTCTCCATAATCTGTGCATCTGTCCACACCAACTGAATTACAGACCACCAAGTTGTCTCATACACCACAGCAAACAATAGGCCAGCTTAACAGTTCAGTGCATGATTTTAAATACCAAATATGTATTCTTTCTCCAGAACACAGAAGTTTTAACCTACTTTTCAAAGTAACTAAGACATTTATAAATAAATTGAAGGCAAGATATTTAACACACTTGCTTCTGTAGTGATTATTTTGAAAGCCAAGATTTTCTTTAACTAGTAAATCTGCTTTGAACTGCAAAATCTTTAATGGATTTTGTGAAACCTGCATTTTTTTTATTACTGTTCTCCTTTAGAAGTTTCACACTTCTAATAATAAATGCCACATTGTACCTGAAGAGTACCTATGGTAGAAATAAAGTATATCAAAAGTCTTAAATGACAAGTGACACACACTTTAAAATTATGTGTGGGGCATATGAAAATATACGTTGTAAGATTTTTTTTTTTTATAAGAAAGAGCAAGATAGTTAGGAGATAGACATCAATAAAACTGCATACTTCCACAAGCGCTAAAGCTGGCTCACAGCATCTCAAGTTAGTAAGACAAGATGGAAAAACTTTGCTTTAAAATTCCAGTGGTCTGTTTTCTAGCCTCTGCTTTTCTTTAAAATAACCTGCAAAAAGAAAAAAAGTATATTTATCACTGTTTTTATCACTACAATTCAGGTCCAAAATGCTAGACTACTCAGACCAAAGGTTCACCTAGCCAATTTGTTTCCAAGAGCTGAGTCACCAAAGCTAAAACTCAAGGGAAAATGTTAGAAATAAAGCAAAAGCATATTGAAAGATTTTATATAAGAGGTTTTTTTTAAAAGCAAGAACATTCATAAGCAAAAATTCTGTAAAATAAAAGGCTTATTTTAAAAATTAATATTACGAAATAGCAATAGTGCTCTCAAGCCCTTAGTAGATTACTTGAAGTTCTTACTCTGTTAAGCCTAGACAAAAAGAAAAATTACATACAGCTACTATGCTCCATTTGTGTTTGCAATGCCTTATTTCTTTCTATATCAAGAGCACACAGACCTTTGGAAGGACATTTTCTGGTTTGGAGTTTAAATTGAAAAATGAACTTCAAAGCCCAAGTGGGACTGTTTAAGTGTTAACATTATTAAAATACAGGCAGTTTTTCCTTTCTTTTCATCTTAAAAAATAAATGGAGCACAAAAATGTTCAAATAATGTTAAGATTGCAGTTAAAAAGAAATTACAAATGCATAAGATTCCAACTGTAACATTCACTTGGCTACCCTACATATTCTGTATATATTTCTGTTACTATAGTAATAGAAAGTATCAAACTAAACCTTTCACCAGAGGAAAAAAAAAATACTGAAAACAAACAGAAGCCACAGGACCAAAATATCAGATAACAACGAGTTTTGTTCTTCCAATTTGCCCAGCAGGAGTAAATGGTTAAACAATTAACAAATTAAAGAGACCAAGTTCCTTCATGACACCAAGGTAAACAGATTTGCAAGAGATACACAAGATATATCCTAGCAAGTGAAATGCGCTGCAGAGTACAAAGGGGTTTCAGTCATACTTTGACACTAATTCTTTCTAGACAGAGAAAGCTGCTTAACACCTTCCTTTTTCCCTTCTTTTGCATGTATACAAAACTCAACATCCTTCCCAGATATTCATACAATTTTTGCAATGCTAAATTAGCCATATAGCAATCCAGTTTAATCCTCCCTTGCCAAACACAACATCACACAAAGTATCTGCTTGTTCAAATAGTATCCACACCATGCTTCAAGAATCCACTACAAACTTATCCCAGACTAAGCAGGTAAGAACATACGGTGCAAGAAAGATATGTGAACCTCTCTGGACTACTTCTCACTTGTTCCATAAAGCTTCACTTATATAACTGAAGTTAAGACAGCATGCTTCCTTGATGTAGTATCATCTGAAATAAGGATCCTCAACTTTGGAGGGGCTTTCAGCCCATGAATGTTTGCTGGTAGACCACTTTGTAGACTTACCCATACATAGGAACTATGACTTTAAACACGGAATAATAATAATAAAAAAAACAGATTATACTTAATAGGGCAAGGAAAGTTAATTTGCTGTGTTGTTAACAGTGAATTGTGCCAGTGACGGATTAAAGAACATTAAGTCTCTATACATTTTGAATTACAAATAAAATACCAACTTTAACACAGAAAATATTCGTCTATGCTGTCATAATACATTTTACATTATGCAAAAAAGAAAATTATTAAAAGTCCTTTAATACCTTTGCGGCAGATATGGTGTGCTCGGGTTTAATTATTTTACTTTTGTTCTCAAAAGCATTTGTCCTGGCTTCTTCTGCTAGCCGATGTAGAAACAGTAAGAAGTTCAAATGCACCTTTAAAATAGGGAAGAAAAAAACAAGAAACCCAGAATGATTCAAACTTGCTTAAGCATAGTTTGGTTTTTTAGAGGTTCATTTTTTGGGACAAAGGATTTGCATATTAGACTGCTTCCAAATTTATGAAGGGTGTTCTCAGAAAAACAATAAATCACTCAGTTCAAGCTTTAGTAAATTTCCAAGACATTCTTTACTGCAAGACTCTTACAGTTTAAATTTAGCATACTTAAATCGTAAAAGTGTTTTAAAAATGATCAAACAACAACTGATCTAATAGGAATCAAGTCTGATTTTTATTAGCAGTTTTTAATAATAAAATGTAGATATAAATATCATAGAATCAGGAGCCGTTTTGCTTACTAGAAAATAGTCAGCTTTCAGTGACTTCAACTGCCAGACCCTTATGAACAGCAAATTCATCCCTGCTCTATCGCCAAATGGACCACAGACGAGTTCAAGGACTTCTGCCTCTTTTCAGTGCAAAGGGACATTGACATTAATTTCTCCAGAACAAGAAATTCTCCAGTGTCAGAAGGTTCCATCCATTTTCTTCCCAGCTCATCACTTACTTAGCCTTTTTATGTTAGAAGAACGGGTAGGGCAGAATTCTGTTCAATGCGGAATGCTGTTCTGCTAATACAAAAGCAGCAAAAAACTTCAGCAGGCAAGGAAGGAACTTCTTCAACTTGGACTAAAACTACCAGTCAAGAGCACCCCTGTGTAATCAGGGACTTATAATACAAATCTCTAACATTATACAGACATTATGTGAACTATTTTAATAGTCCCACCTGAAAAATTGATATCGGTACCTTCTGCAAATAAACTTTCCAACAGTATTACCTTGGCTATGTGAAGTGTACAAAAATACTTTCACAATAAAGAGCTCAGAAAAATATTAAAATGTATGAAAATTTTATTTACATGAATTAGGCAATGTATTTGCTCTGCCATACCTGATCTGTAAAGCCTGGAAAAATATAACATGGATATAACGTGGGAAGTTACAGATTAAGTGGTTTTGCAGCAAAAAAGAATTTGCAGAAAAAAGATTCTGCTAGAGGACAGACTCTTGTCATATGAACAGCATTCACAGGACAAGCTATTTGGGATTTTTTTCAATATCCTGAACTAAATGAAGCCAGCATGCAATAGATAAATTTACACAATATTTGACATAATTTGGAAGCATCAACTACACAAAAAGCAGATGTTCTTGCAGATTTACTTTGCAAAATATCAAAGACACTTTTAAACTAGTAACTCACACAGAAATTATCTGTGAGAACTGAAAGAATCAAGCAGTGGCACTAAGATAATGTTCAACATTAGAACTCTCATTACTAAACTTATCAAGGTGAAGGTTAGATTTCTGGAAATAACCTGTGGGAGAAGAGGGAGGTGGAACAAAAGCTTCCATACTTTCAAGTCCTTTTGCTGAGATACCTAAAGACAAAAGTGTTAATTTTAAAATTAACTACCTTTCTAAAATGCATCTTCTGTCAGAATCACTGTACCTTTATTTTCCTATTTTCAAAGTGAATTGCTGCACGTGGAGAAGCTTCCCCTGAACAGATTTAAACAATAGTCACAACATATTCCACAACAGAGCACGGAGGTTAATAAATATTCCAGGTTATTCAAAGCAATTGAGAAAAGCTAATGAAAGGCAGAATGACTAAATACCATGAATTGGACAGTTACTGACAAATACCTAAGCGATATCATATTTCTTCAAAGACATTACTACATATGAAATTATTGTCCCTATGCATAAAAATTAAAAACTAAAATTAATTACTCATGCAAATCACTTTACAAAACAGAATGCTTACTTCCCAGAAAAGAAAGGTGGCAAAGTTTCAATAACTTTGTAAAAAACTCACTACACTGTTTGCACAGCAACTTCCACACACCTGCTCAACAGAACTAGTGAATAGTAGGGAAAGGCTCTGTAATTTTACTTTGCTGCCATAACTTCAGAACAATTCTTTAGACTAATATTCTGCCTTAGACGTACACTTATTAATCATTCAATGGTGATAATGAAGAAAAAAAAAGGCCATTCAAAGCAATACTTTAAGCTCTTTCTGCAATGAAAATACAACATGCCCTTCCAGCATGAAACAAGCAGTTGAGATCCTGCTTTTCTTCTATAATTTCAAGCTAGAACAAAGTTTGCATATTTTCTTCTCAGACTTTTAGAGGAATATCTGAAGTTCAGTACTAAAATCTTTACCTCTTATTTTCAAAAAGAGCCTTGAAAAAAACCTGAAACACTATTCATATCTCTTCACCCAAAGACATTATCATACTCCTTCAAAAGAAAAACAAACAAAATGAAACAGCTTCCTGAGAAAGGTTGATGAAACTTTATACCTACACTGTGTGAAGAGAAAGATATTAACATTCAGGAAACAGATTCTGACAAAGCTTCATATTTTGAAAGGAGACTTGATCAAAAAAATCTGAAAAGTGAAGAAGAAACCCCATTCAAGTATTTAACAAAATTATCTGAATTCTTATGTCATTCAAATTTGTTAGTTATGATCACATACAAAGATACTGATTTTGTCAACTAAAAATAATCACCAAAGGTCCAGAAAAAAACCCAATTTGATTATCTCCTAAGCCAGGTGGGCAGGCTACCTCACTGAACCAGACAAGTAGATTCAAACATAAAGCATGCATCACGCAGGAAGATAGCCCAGAAACTGAACTAGCCAATTCTCATTCTTCCCTAGAGAAGACACAAGCTCTCCACTCAAAATGTACATGGTTCCATCTTGTTAAGACAGCTACTCTATAAATGACTGAAGTATGCAATCTAGTCACTCTTACAGTGTTTGCAGAGAATAACAGAGACACTAGAAAACACATTCTCAAAACTTGCTACTTGTCTAACTGATAATTACGGAAAAAACTCCTCCATATTTCTTTTTAAGGCAAAATTCCAGCTGTGTTGATTATTTGTCCGTAGAAATAAAGAGCTAAAGAGCTGTTAGCCACGTGCCTAGTTGAAGAGCATCATGGACAACAACCACAACCAGACATTCCTATTTAAAGGAAGAAAATAAAAAAGCCAAGCCTTGTAACATTAAAGATCATTTAATTTGACACCACCAGAAGAGATAATCTAAGTTTCCACTACAATATTGAAACTTATTCTGATCTCATCCTTTGTGTTGGAAGAACATTTGATTAGTCATATTTTAAGCTAGATCTGATTGTTATTGTTCGCAAGTTTCAGTCAATTCAACTCACTGATTGTCTTTGCAGCACACAGAACACTAGTGTCAGGACCAGGAAGAAATGGGAACCAAAGGCCAAAATTTGGAGGGATGTCCCACTTACCCCTTTTCAGCTACACAGTTTGAAGACAAATTTTCATTTCCTTGGAAACACAGACCAATCGTTACCAGGACTACAAAAAATGTGTTAGTGATTGTCTAAGTTTGATTAGTTGACTACTTGATTCCACTGAATAAGCTTTGAGTGGGTCTGAGCATGAGTAGCAAGGGGCCAGGTCCTTTGTCCAAAAAAAACTCCAGAGATAGCAAAAACAGTAGGAAGAAATCATATTTTTATTAGCTCAATTAGAGAAATATTTAATGTTTACATTCAAATCTAAATACTCTCGTGCAATTACTATATTCACTCATATTAATCTCATATTATTTATTTTAATTTTGTATGTTTAGATTTAGCTGCATATATCCAGATACCTACGTTCAAGATGCTGCAAGACACAACTTTTATATACATACGAAACATGGACTTACAATTCAAGACAGGGACCATACTAGTACAGAGTATGCATTAACACTTTAATGCTCTAAGAATCACATGCATTTGTAAACAAGAGGGCAACACAGTCAAGCAAGTTAAGAATATCCTTTTTATGCACTTTTTTTTTTTCAGTATAGCAGCTACCAAAAACTCTCTTGTGGTCAGGTATCCTTGCTGTAGCCAAATAATTCCTTGGTGAGACAAACTCTACCTGTGTCACAAATCCCTCAGTGCAGGTCAGAATCAATCCAGCTGTGTTGGCCTCAGTTTTTGGAAAGTTGTTTGATATAGCTCTACACGTTTTTGGCAGGCATTTTTAAACCAGGAACAGGGTCCCCACACCTTATTAGATTAGTACAAGACTTGTCATTCCTTAGTTTTGGATAGAGATTACTTAGATGGCTTTCAAACAGTATATGATCATTCAAGATGCCTGAACAGTCTAGTAACTCACTGATTACAACAAACCACCCGCACACCCAAACTGGTCTACATTACCAACAGACATCTGTGTGTTACAGACACGTATTCCAAATTCGTATTTCTCGGTCCGTCTACACCAAACTCTTTGATCAGCAGTGCGTACGTGTAGTAACACAATAATTATGCATCAGCCTGTCCCTGAATCCCCAAACCCGCTGTCAAATCCCTACAATGCAGCACCCACCAGCAAAGCAGAGAGCAGCAATCTCTACTTATCCACGTAATCTCTACTTAGCCACGCAAGCCAATAGTCCATCTCCCCGGAATCTTTGCCTCCCCTCTGCCCGTCGGTCACTGCAGAAACACCATTAGTAGGAACTTGGCATCCCATCACACCCAGCAACTCCCAAGTGCTCCAGTGCGCACCATCCTAAACATTTAGAGTGTAAATGTCCCTACGTAGGGCCGGTTGCCCCCAGCCCCTCCCCCGCCCTCCCCCCCCTCTCTCTCTCTCCTCACCAGCAGGTCGGCGTTCGCCGCCAGGCGTAACTGCGGCTTGTGTTTCTTTATTATTTTCCGCAGGGTGCTGCGGGGTGCCGTGCGCCTCATCTTCCCCTGCTGCTCCCGCTGTTCCCGTTCCTCTCCCTCGCGCCTCCCTCGCTCCCGCCGCCGTTCGAATCCGCCGCCCTCGCGCAAGCGCGCGCGCCCGCCGTGACGCCACTTCCCAACGGCCGTGCGCGGTGCCGGCCCCGCCCCCGCGCCCCGCCCCGTCCCGTCCCGCCGGAGCGAGGCGGGGGCTCCCCCGCCCTTCCCTGGAAAGAGGGGCTGGAGCATCTGGCCGCTCGTCCTGGGCGGCCCGGCGGCTGCGGGGAGAGCTGGGGAGCTGCGGGGTGCTCTCTCACCTGTGCCAGCGGGCACGGCCGCCTCCCGGGTGCGGCGGCTCGGGAGGCGCGGTGGCGCACGGGGGGCTCGGGGCGCTCCCCGAGCAGGTGCTCGAGGGACGGGCGGGTCCCTGCTGGGCACCGCCAGAGTCACATAAGTGTCGAAACGCTTCCCTTGTGAGCGAACCGCAACTTGACTTCAGTTCCCAAACCTCCAGCCAGGCCCTTTTAATCGAAATGGCAGAGAGGGGACGCGGCAGTTCCCGACTGGCCTTTCCGAGCCCTCGGACGTGACCGCCGCCACATGCAGAGGTTTCCTAAAACGGAGGGAACGTGGCACCGGCCAGAGGCACCGGAACGGCGCTGCCTAAACAAGCCTCAGGCCAAGACCTGTGGATTTTATCTTGGCAGTCGTCGCCCAAGTGTAATGTTTGTCCCAGAAGCCAAGGGAGTTGTAACAAAGCGCTTGTTCTCTCCTTCGCTGTGTGACCCTGCTGGGAAATGTGACAGGACTGTAGGACCGGGAGCCTGAGTAGCTCCATAATCTTGCACTGAGATGAGCCTGGAGTGATAGTTATGTTCTGCGCATAAATCTGGGCAAAATACTGCATTATTAAGTGTGTGGCATTGACTTAATTGTCCACAGAAACACACATTCATTCTAAAGTTGGCCACCAATTTAACGTGTCATCCTTCCTCCAGCATCTGTCCCTAGACTTCTGTTTTAGCTGACGGATGCTGCTGACTGAAATACAGGTTTCCCCACAGAGGGGCCCCTGTAGCTTGGCATTCTCAGTGTATTTGGACTGTGTGTACTTAGTTGGAGAAGGGGTCAGGATTTCATACTGAGGTATGGGGCTTTTCAGCGTATTTATTAGTTTTTCGTTTTCTTTGGCCTATGGGATGCTTGCAGATTTAAATGTTGATAACATATATATATAGTCTTAATATATTCGAAAGTATCAGCACCCAGATGTGAATCAGTTTTATTGAAGTATGTTTTTAAGTCTGTATGATTTGGTATTTTAGTTAATTTTACAAAGTGTTGTCCAGATAGAAGTATATATCTGACAGCAGGAGAGAATTTAAGATTTGCCAGTTCTTCGTACTCTGTCAGATACTTGAAAACTATGCTTTGTTCTTTCAGCTTTGACTGTCACTTTCCATTAATCGTCAGTAGCGATGTAGATCTTAAAATCAGGGTCTTAGCATTTTTTCTGCGAGGAAATAAGCACACTAACTCATATGGCTTTTTTCTACAGTTTAATAATAATCACAGTTAATGGTTCAGCAGCACTGCTAGAAGTAAACATTTGGGGTTTTTCAGCAAACTAAACGGCTCTGACTCAGGAGCTACATAGGGTCATGTACTATAATGCTCATAATACACACATAGAAACTTGCATCGGAATCAACAATAATTCATCATGTCAGCAGATTCAGATCTACAGCTGGGGTAAATCAGTAGCTCCACTGGACGTTACTTGAGCTGAGATTTGGGCCTTAGAATCTCACACTGTTGGTGGGAAACTGGTGTTGGAAACTGGTATGGGCAAGCATTTTACAAACTGTAAGAACTGCAAAAGTGCCTCTACTGTAGGTATAAAACTATTAAAATACATCACACAAATTTGAAACTGTGCAGTAACCTGCATGGAATGACAGATACTGGAGACTCAAGACTAGTAACTATAACCTTTAGTCATGTGCTTGCTGCGTAGAAAAAAACCTGAATAATAAAATCTACTATTAAGTGTAATACTGTTTTGTGGATTCTGATAGTTTTATATTTCTAGTGAACTAGGGGGTTTTTGTTGTTGTTTTTAACCACAGAAAATAGTAATTTAAAGAGCTGACTCAAATCTACTTATTTACCAGATTTTCTTTTCTCTTATATTTTGAAAAATTTTTGGCAGTAGTTACTTCAAGCAATTGATAAGAGAAGTCAAATGTAAAAATACTAAATTACAGGGTCTGATTTACTGAACAAACATGAACTTCAGTATTTCAGATTCCTCCTTGAATTTATATTTTAGGCTATTTTTCAATAAATATTTCCATACATATGATTTGTAATAGCTTAATTTTAATACAGGAATATTGTAGAAAAAGAAAAAATATTCTGCTGTACATCATGCATTGCAATGGACAAAAATTATTGTATAAGTTAACTAAATAAATAAACTTTAAAAAATCTCAAATGTTTCAATTGCTTGATCTGTGTTAGCACAAGGATTAATGATTACATTTCAGTACATCATAGAAAACTGCAATCTTTATATTTCTGATTTTGAACATGACTGTTTTCCTTTTCTGTCTCTTTGATATAATCCATAATGTTCTGTTATAATGCTCCTGTAAAATATCATTTAAACAGCTAAAAGAATAATGCAAAATGTGTTTTAAATTAATTATTTTAAAGTTGAAATCACTAATTTTATAATGTTCGTGCAGCTTTATAAGAAAGGCAGTTCTGTGCCTTACAGGCACATTTTCACGCTGTGCCTGTTTAAAAGCTGCAGGAGTTTTGCATTCATTTTCTACAAGCAGTTACCTTGTCTTCAAATAGTGTTTCAAGAATTTCATATTTTCCCACTTTTTAACAATTGCCGTTTTTAAGTACACATTAGTTCATTTTGTGAACCAAATGTGTTTCATGGTTTCAGCTGCAGCACATCTTCCCCATTCTCCAGCAATACTGAACTGTGTTTTAGAACTAAAGGCATCATCTGGTACCAATGATTAGAGCTAGGAAAATTCAGCAGTTAAAATGATACTATCCAGGTCTGACTTCTTCAAGAAAACAAACCATCTTTTAAGGTTTATTTAGTTTTCTTTTTAAGACAGGCAATTTCAGTGGCATTATTTTGCCACTCTTCCTTCCAGATTATGTGGGTTCCTTGAAAACACTTCCGTACAGGCTAAAAAGAGGCCAAGCTTGGGGCCATCACTGCCGAACCACAAGCCAGTAAACATTTTGTTCCTCATTTCTGTAAGGAAAGAGACGAATTTAAAGACTAAATTTTTCTACTCCTCTAGTACACTAGAAGTTGAATCAAGGGTAATATTTAGAAATTAAATTGAAAAGCAGTGTTTCCTTTCTGCCTGAGATTTTTATAAGCACATCCTGCCTTGTTAAATTTGCTCTCCCAGCCTGTACTTTTAACTATTAGCTTAAATATTTTGGTTCTGTATTTTGACATTATCTTGTCAGACTCTTCATCAGCTCTTCATCAAATCATAAGTCAATCTTCCCCCCCAAAATGCTGAAGAATTCCATTTTAAGTGTGTGATATCTTGAATTTAATAAACACATTTTATAGATTCTTGCTAAGCCAGAGGTCCCTCAGTTTCTTCTTTAATCAGGTAGAGACTGTTAAATATTTTCTGGTGCTAGTCCAGTTTCAGTGGTTGATGAAAGACTTTGAAACTTACCCTGGATATGGATGTCAAAGCCTAAAATCTTTTGAAGTTTTCTCCAGTGATGAAAAGATATCTCTAAAACAGAACATAACAATTCAGCAAATGTAAACTCTTCTATAATGTAGTTGATAGGCTTGATCATAATGTTTGGGGTACACAGACTGACTCTCCTGTTAACATCTGTATATTATTTCTATTGGATAATACAGGTGTGGTTGAATTTTTTTGTAGAGAAACAGGGAAAGAGAGAAGACAAAGGAGCAAATTGTATGTTTTCCTCTCCTCTCCTCTGTGGAACTTAAGCAAATCTCTTTCTTGAAAAAGAAGGCGGAAGTGGCAATTTTAACAAAAAACTTTTGCCCTATAGCTGGTACTATTAATGTAATAGCAATAATTTAATTGCAGTCATAAATATTAGAAGCTCAAAAATGTGTTTAGTATTCACCTTTTGTTTTCAATAAGAAGTAGAGAAGTCTCTAAAATTAATTATTTTAATTACCTTTTTTTATTTTTATCTGTTTTCAGGCCACGTGTTGAACAGTGAAAAACAAGAAAGGCAAAACATCATAAATTACATTTGAAATTCAGACTATTTGCTAATTTTAGGATTTACAATGTAAGCTTCAGTTTCATTTTTCAGCACATTCTGTGTATCAGCTCTCTGTATATCAGTCTCTGAAGAACCTGTCTAAAGTCAATTGACTTTCACAGGCCAGACACTGTCTGCCTGTTGTGACTGCTTTAATTGCATTCATAAAATGAATGTCATTCATACTTCTTCACTGGTTTCCTTCAGCTCTGAAACATGAAATGGTGTGCTACAGAATGGCCTTCTTAGCTATACAACTTTCCACCAGTTTTCTGGCTGTGGCTGCAGAGGAAAGTGGGTGATCACAAAGAAAACCAACAAAGTAACAGACAAGTTAGGTTTCAGGTGAGGTGAATTGATTACTGATTACTTAAATCACACTTCTTATGACATAAGCCAAGCCATACCATTATTGTATGTGTGCACGTGATAGAAAAAAGAAGAATGGCCACTGAAGTGAACCAAGGATTTAAAGACTGACTTCCGAGTGCATGGAATACATTTATACTACAGTAAGAGTTGCAATTAATGCACAAAGTTGGCATGTATTCTGCAGTCAAAAGGACAGGAGGGGAAAATAAGTAATTTTTATTTATTTATTTTACCATGGTAACCAACAAGGGAGTTAAAAAAGAAAACATTTCAGATAAAATAGAAATAATTCAAAACAGGCTGTAACCAGAATGTATTTTTTCAGTGATGATTTTCAGAAGTTATTTATTAACAGCCAAAAGGAATATAGTCACCTGAAAACGAAGTAATATAATTTATGCCAAGCAGTTTGCCACAATTTG